GAAGCCACTTAAACATGAATTTCATTACTACTTCTACATATAAAGAAAATTATACAGAAGTGCCTAACAATGAGACAGAGTCATGTTAGATTTTGTTTCCGAGGAACCCTATCCCTTTCTTCCTAAGGGGAAATGCCCTGTGTAGAAATTAGAGCTGGTGCATTTTAGAGTATTGAAACTCCCCAGTGCCTGGCATGTGCTGCTGCCCCATGAATATCTGCCTGTCATCTCCCCGACCCCTACCCCGGCGTGTATGGCATTGTTGCCACTGCTCATTTTCATTCCTATCAAAATAGATAAGAACACATTTGCCTACTGGCCATTCAGCTTTTTATTAGACCAATCAGGTGCCTTAGGTAGGCAAGGTGAAACAGCAACACATCTTTAATAGTAATTAAGCAAATGAAGAATAAACAAATGTAAAACATCTTTACATAGTTAAATATTCCACAACCATGCATACACACACGCACCCAGACACAGACACACACACGCGTGCGCACACACACATCAAAACCACAGAATGGGAGCTGGAGAGAGGTCTCAGTGGCTAAGAGCACTGACTGTTCTTTAGAGGACTGGATTCAATTCCCAGCACCCACATGACAGCTCACAACTGTCTGTAATTCCAAGATCTGACACCCTCATACAGACATACACACAAGCAGAAAACCAATGCAAATTATAAAAAACAGACAAACATATATCCAGGAGATCACCTCAGCACACTAGAATAAAAGTATAGAAAGGAATTATTATTAGTGACATGGAGAACTTGGAGTCCTTATGGATAGGGTATGTTTCTGCTGTGTTGTAGCTATGGTTTATATCTTCCTTGCCCCAAAGTTCGTGAATTGAAAGCTTAGTCTTAGGGCAGCAATATGGAGATGTGGTGCGACCTTTAAAAGGTAAGCGCTTGCAGAAGTTCTGCAAGTCATTAGCATTGTGCTTCTGGAAGAAATTGTGGAACATGGCCTCTTTGGTCTCTGATTTTGAGTTACAGTATCTTCTTGGCACACAGTATTATCCCTTCATTGTGTCAGCTGTGAGATTCTCACCAGAGCCAAGCCGGTGTCCATATCGTGATCTTGAACCTCCAGTACTATATGCTAAATAAATATTTATAAAGTTAGACTGGTCCTAGTACTGCAGTGGGGACGTGGACATGAGCTTCTATCTCTAACCAAGAACCTATCTCTAACTGACACCTGCTTGCAAAGGAAAAACTAGTTTTTACCAGTGGAGTCTCCCTGGTAAAGAAATCACATCTAAGGACAGGCCTCATGCCCAGCATCAGATGGTCAACACAAATGAATTCAATGCTATTTTTGTAGACTTTTTGTCTCATATTGCTTTGTTTAGTTTTTTTTGTCTTATTGGTCTTTTGTTTGTGAATTATGGTTCCTGACTTTGTGTTTTTTATGTGTCTTGTTTTGTATATGACTCTGTGTTTCTTGTGCTTATTGTTTTTTCTTTTTCTTTAATTCTGTTTTTTTTCTTTTTTGTTTGCCTGCTTATTTATTTTCTAAAGAACGAAAGAAAGAAGAAGGGATAGAATTAGTGGTGGATATGATCTGGGAGGAGTTGGGGGAAGGGAACCATGATTAGAATATATTGAATTTATAGAAAATCATTTTTGATGAAAAACAATAATACAAGAAATTAGCATGCCTTAGGTATCTTATTGCAGTGGCACATTAGTGTTTATTATTATAATTATGATGATCACAATGATCATTTATTATTGTTGATGGTAGGGATCAAATCCAGGGCCTAATCTGTGGTAAGAACACCCTGTACCACTGAGCTACACACCCAGTCCTGGAATAGATGTTTTTACATCCATGGTCATAGCAGCATTATTTGTAACAGTCAAAAGGTGGAAGCAATCTAAAATTCCATTGGCAGATGAATGAATGAACATATTTCAGATCAGAAGGATTTATTTTTAGCCCTGTAAATAAGGAACTTTGGTACAAAGTTTCAATGGAGACGAACCTTGAGGGTATTACTCTAAGTAAAATAAGCCAGGCACAAAAGATAAACACTGTCTCACTCCACTTGCATGAGGTTTCTAAAATCGTTCACGTTCAAAACCCGAAATCTAATGCCAGTGAGAGGAAGAGGGAATGGGAAGTCATCATCTAATGGATAGCGGACTTCACTTTTGTGAGTAGAAAGGTCTAGAGATTGATTGTGTAACAATACAGATGTACTTAAACACTGCAGAACTGCACACTTAAAAAGGCTAAATCTGTTCTTATGTGTGTTTTGTCACAATTAACACAAAAATATTAAAAACCAGTAGAGACTTGTCTTGGTTAGGGTTTCCACTGCTGTGAAGAGACACCATGACCGTGGCAACTCACACATAAACACATTTAATTTGGGCTGGCTTACAGGTTCAGAAGTTTATTGTTGTCACAGCAAGAAGCATGGCAGTATACAGGCAGACTTGTTGCTGGAAATGAGCGGAAAGTTCTACATTGGGATGGGCACACAGCAAGAAGGGATAGCCACACTGGGCCTGGCTTGGGCTTCTGGAACTCCAAAGCTCACCCCCAGTAACACACTTCCTTCAACAAGGCCAGACCTTCCAATAGTGCCACTCTCTATGAGCCACGGGGGCCATTTTTATTCAAACTACAACACACCTAATTTTCAGAAATGCCGTCTCTTTAGTTAAGGTCACAGTAGCAGGATTCCCCAGGGCCACTGTCATCTCCCTTAGTGTTAACGCATTGGAATGTAGTGTTTCCATGTCCCCTCTTGGTTCATTTTTCCCCTAGCTTTTATCACCTTCTGATATGCTTTATTCATTTTTGTGTTTCTTTCATCAGACTAGTTTGTTTAGAAAGAAACTTTCTATTATATTCATTGAGATTCAAGTTCTTTGTTTTAGTTGTCATTGATAAATATTTATAAAGAAGAGGAGATGTTATGTTAGTTGACCAGTTCACAGGTTTTAGGCCATGGTCAGTTGGCTACATAGTCTCTAGACCTGTGGTTAAGCAGAACAACATGTCAGGGAGTGTGTGGAAAGAGGCAGAAGGAAAGTTGTTTTCCTCATGGCTGACAAGGGGGAAGAAGGACCCTGGTCCCAGTAGATCTTACACTATGCCTCCAATGACCTAACTTCCTCTGAGCCCCTCATTAGAATTTCCCATCCCCTAGCAGCATCACTGACTGGCACCCAAGACTTGAACACATGAGGGACATTTTAGATCCAAGCTATAACAGCCTTCAAGTAGGACAAAGACAAGCATAGAGCTTTTACTACATTCAAAGTGCTTTATGGCTACCAAACTACCTACATCAGTACTTGAGTGGCTGATTTATATTTATATTCACTGTTAAAAAGAAAATATTATGTGCAAAAGCTTTAAGGTCATATACATATATACTTTTAATTTAGACAGTGGTACCTACTTACTCTACTTGAGGAAGAGACCTGGTCAGTCTTCCTTACCAACTTAGGTCATGAAACCCAATACAGACAAGTATATGGACTTATTCTACTTGATAAAGAGATATTTTGGCAGTGTTAAGAATTTTCTGTGAAATCTTCATCAAATCATCAAGTCTAAGATTTCATGGTATATAAAGGCCATGAAACCTGAGATGTGATTATATTTGCTCTGTAAATTTTGTGTGTGTGTGTGTGTGTGTATCTTCAGAATACATATACAAATTAGGCAAATGGTATTTTGATTTTTAAAAAAGATATATTTTAACAAATAATAGGTTAATAGAAAATCTCTAGCTTTGTAATAACTTTTCTCAAATAATAGAAATAAACTTTAGATTTAAGAAGTATGTGGGGAAATGAGTGAATAGTGTATTTTTCAGCCCTGAAGATCAGGTAGAAAGGGGCAGGTCCTATGGTACCTGGGAGAATTTCACTGAATGGATTTCTACCTAAGTTAACAAGGAATAGTAACTAAAAGATGATCATTTTTCTCCTACAATGGCCTTTTGAATGCAACAGGAAAAAAGCCCAGGCGGAGGGAATTATGCAACAAGTCTGGGTATTATATTAAAAATTATCAACATTTAATTTTTCCTCTTCTTATATTAATCACATATCTATTAGTTCTGAGGAAAGTGGACACCCCACCCCCACACATCACGTTTATGCATAATCAGCTCCAAAAGGTAGAGATAATAGCACAAATTAATTACACATAAAGGACCTACCTACACATTGTCATTTGTAAGCAATTTTTGCATAGGCACCATAGATCAACAGGATTGTGCACTTTAAAATGTGAGGTAACAAGGCATTTAAAAATAACCAAGGTTTACGGCTACTGCCCTGCTATCGTGACTGCATAAACACTGTGATTTAGTTGAAAATATATGGAACAGACGGGGATATTTTTGCAACGGTTGAATAAGATATTATGATGCCAGAAACACAACTGTCCCCAGGCAGTTAAGCTCTTCATGGAGTTTCTTTACTATTGCTTTTGACCAGGGGATTGTTTGGTACTGCAGGTCACTCATTGGGGTAAAGGACCTCCCTGAAAAATTCATGCACTTTGTTAACGGGAGAAACCTAGTGGTATTTTGGAACTGTTACTTGGAAGAAGGGGCAGAGAAACTTGCTTTTTTTTTTTTAAAGAAAGGTCTTGCCTGGCTCTTGCTGATTTGGTGCACAAACCCTACGGATATTAAAAGGTACACAATTTGACAAGCTGGAAATGCCCGCCTGTCTTGCAACGTCTTTTCTGAAGCCACACCATGCAAGATTAAGCCTTAAATTGTTTCACGGGCAGGCGCCAGCCATAGATCGGTATCTTTCTCGGTTTCCTGGATGCCTTCACCTCCGCCGGTTAACCGGGCAGTCGCCGGTCCTAGCGCGCGGTCTGTGTCTCTGCTCCGCCCCTACCTGCCCTCTTCCAACATGGCGCCCCAGGAGGCGGGTTCCACTCCTCGGCTCCCCGGGTTCCGGCGCCGTGAGTTTTGGTTCCGGAGTAACAGCGTTCTAGCAGCCTTCTTCCTCCTCGCGCCGCCACCTCCGCTGCCGGGACGCGGGCCTTCGTCGGCTGAGCCCGCACGCCCAGCACCCTCCGGTTCCGGCTGCGGCTCGGGACCCCCTCGTGACCTCGCGGTCCTGAGCTCTCCGGTCTGGTAGCGGGCAGGCGGCACCGGTGCTTTTCCGTTACAGCCCCGACCCAGCCCGCGGCGCCCAGACACCCTCCCTTTGCCCACCCAGGACTGCAGGACATTGGCTGATGCACTTCCCCTAAACCAGGCCATTGCTGTGCTGTCTCCCCTTACGCACACGGACTTCAAAAATGCTTATCAGTTCTGTTTTGTCCACTTTTGTAACTCCAGGACCTTCCACTCTCTGCTAATAATACCTTTTGACCCGTACCCTTTCCCCAGTGCATCTTTTCCGAGAGACATTCAAACTCCACACGACCCGGGCCTGGTTCAGGGCCTGCGAGCTCCCTCCTGATTGTTCCTCTTCACTTCTCCCACCACCCTGCTCCCTGTTTTTATCCTATCGTGTGTACCTCGTTCCCCTTGTCACTTCTTGGGGCTCCTCCTAAGCAGGGGCCAGTCGGTACCCCTCGCCCCAGGATGTGAGACCCTTTAACCTGTAATGCTGTGGCTGGCCCTTGGCCCCTTCCCTGCCATGGAGAACCAAGTGCTGGTGATTCGGATCAAGATTCCAAATAGTGGTGCGGTGGACTGGACCGTGCACTCCGGGCCGCAGTTACTCTTCAGAGATGTGCTGGTGAGTGGTAATCTTAGCGGCCAAATCCCAGCTTGGGGCTCAGGGACCTGGATGGACAGCATCTTGACCACTGGTGGCCTGAGCTGGCCCCTCGTGGGGTTACCTTGCTTGTTTGAACCATAATATCGATTAATTGCATTCGCTGAAAATTGGTAAATGTGCAGGGTCCTGGGAAATAGATGAATCCTATTGAACCCCTGCCCTCAGGAAGATCCCAGCCTGCACTAGGACTTACACACCAGTGCAGTTCTTTTTCTTTTTTCCCCCTCAAAGTGTTTGGAAAGCATCTCTGCCCTCATTCTAGTCCTGCCACTGCTGAGTTCCCTGAACTTGTGACCTGTTGGGAAAGGGAAACCAGGGCAACCTTAATTTACAATGTTTAAGCAAACCTTAGATGTCATTGATTGAAAGACATAAACTTAACTAGCAATAAGAAAAAATGCTGCCTGTTAAAACTGCAGCACACCATCCCATGGGGGGAAAAACAGCTCAATTTCAGAGATGTTGAGTGTTGATGGACAATGCGCATCTTAGAATCAACAGGGGATTGCCTTGAGATGCTCAGAATGTTTCACATCTTACGTAGGTTAATATAGGTGGGTTCCTGAGCCCATATATAATATATATTGCATAGCATTATATGTCTGTATATATGTACTGAGTCAAGAGTAAAAGGACCTTCTCAGGAATTACTGCTCCTGAGGCTGAGAGTAAGCACCGAAACTCTGGCTTACTTGCATAGTTTGTGTTTGTATGTGTGTGCAGATGTGTGTGCATGCACGTGGAGATCAGAGATCAAGCTCAGGTGTCATTCTTCAGTTGCCATCCACCTTGTATTTTGAGACAGGGCTGGTTGGCTAGCAAACCCCAGGGATCCACTTGTCCTAGCTTCTCCAGTGCTGAGATTACAGGCATACACATGCCACCATGCTTGGCCCACCTCTCAAGCCCCCTTCACCTGCCTTTTTTACATGGGTTCTGGGGATCAAACTCAGGTCCTCATGTTTGTATGGTGAACACTTGGCCAGCTGAGCCATCTCCCTGGTCGGCAAACTTACTTTTGCATGCTATAGTTTCCCACATACTTCAGCCCATTTGCATCTTTCTAGTCATTTGCAATTAACAGGGCACAGTATATTCACTTTATGCATGGAGTAACTCAGACAGAATTAGATGTACTGGGAAGAATGTTCTAGAAGACAGTTGTGTAGTTTGACTGGATTGCATATATACGTATGTATATATATATTTATATATACATATATGTGAACATATAAAATTTCATTTTGAAAGCTAGATGCCAGTGACTATCCAGGCTGTGCAGGCTTTCAGGTGCCTAGGTTAAGAGTGTGGTACCTGTAGTGGGCTAGCAGCCTCCAGTCTTTGACACCAAATGCCATCCCTTCTCTGCATCTGGTGTTCTTACACCTCTGCCCATTGATGATTCCCTTTCCTTATAAGCCCACACAGTCCTCATCACTGTCTTCTTCAGTTCCATCTTGACTGGCCTGGCATCTGCGTCCTTTCTTGCCACAGCCTCATGAGCATCCTGTGTCTCAAGTATACAGCGTTCCTGTCAGTCCTCCCAGGTACCCAGGTTGTGCTTGCACATTGCCTTTTTCTTTAGCTGGCCAACTCTCACCTATTTTCTCACACCCAGCTTCACTTTCCCTCTGTTAATGTTGGTCAGATGGCCACACTGGTTCCTATGTCCATTTCTATAGTAAACCATACATTTAGTCCTGACTGTTTGCCTGACCATTCTTCTATAAGCTAAACTTCTAGAGGAGAGAGAGAGGAGAGAGAGAGAGCGCGCTCTGTTTCTGTTGCTTCATAGGACCTGGAAATTTACTGATAGAGCTCAAAATAGGAGGGGCCAGTGAGATGCTCTGTGGGTAAAAGTACACACTGTGCAAGCTGACCACCCGAGTTCAGTCCATGGAACCCATGGTGGAACCAACTCCTGAAAGTTGTCTTCTGATTTGCATACATGTTGCCATGGCATGTGTGCATCCATGATTACTATTTACACACACATGTTTATATAATAAATGAAAAATTTAAAAAAAACATTTATCTTTAAAAAAAATGATCGCTAACCCAGATGTGCATGGTTATGACCTGTGCAGATCTCTGGCGTCTTTCTTTGAGTCAGGGGGTCATGTTGCTCAGCCTGATCTCAAATTGCCTATTTTGTGAAGGATAACCTCAAACCCCCTGCCTTTGCTTCTTGAATGCTGGATGAGCACTAGGTTCTGAGTCAGGTCGTTTGGACTTTCTTGCCAGTTGTGCTACCAGCTTGGCAAGTCATATCTCTCTGAGCCTCAGTGTCCTTATTTCTGCACAGGGACGCCTGCATCAAGACTTGTAAAGATGAAGCACAGAGAAGGTACCCTATAAATGTTGACACTATGATGTAAGGGATAGGACCTGGCCCTCTGCTTCTGAGTACACCGGGAGAGCTCCGGCACATCACACTGGGGGCCCAGCACTAGGGCTCAGGGCTGTGTGTTGGGACTTTTTTGTCATAAGAGCAGCTGGGGGACATTTGTCAGTAGGCGCCAACAAAGACCGTAGAAGTGGGTCTGTGCTGTGCTGCTGCTGGCTCAAGGCAAGTCAGGCAGGGTGCCGCCTCAGGTCCTTGTCATCCGCTCTCCCACTTCACGTCATCTCTTCCATCAGGAAAAGACAAAACCCCAGAGAAATCAGCATCTCGGACTTGGAACCTTAAACTCGAAGGCCATGTGAAACTTGGATGGCCCCTTGGTCTACTTGAGCCCTTTCGTACACTTTCCAGTTTTCAGATGAGGAAGCTGTACCCTGGGAGGGGCAGGGCCTTGCAGAGCCATAGAGCCTGTTTTTGGCAAAACCTAACACAGAAGCCAGAGCAGGGTTTGGTCACCAAGTCAGAGTGATTGAGTATCTGAGACCGCAGTCAGTAGTTGAAGATTCCAGTTGTTACTTCTCCAAGTGGCTGGGAGACGCTGTGCAGGTCTCATCCTGCCCCCTCCACGCTTGTCTGTTGTCTGTATCTCCGGGAGTTGAGTGCAGTGTGCAGGAAGCCAAAACCAAGGGCAGAGGCACTGGGCTCTTTGTTGTTCTTTGGCCTTCTTTCTCCTTGTCCCTGGAGACAGTCTCCAGTTCTAGGAATCGTGTGTGGGACTGGGTTAGTCGGTGGCCTTCTTTTTCTCTTCGTAGCCTGTCTTCAAGTCTCACTTACAGTTGTCGCGATTTGTGATGATGTTTCTGTCCAAACTGAACCTGTGATTCTTCCCTCCTCTTGCTTGTCAGGTGTTTTCCTTGTGGTGACAAGATTCTTAACAAAAGCCAGATAGGGAAGAAAGATTTTATTTTCACTCACAGTTTGAGGGTTTGGCAGGGAAGGCAGCTGGTCACGTTGCATCTGCGATCAGGAGGCATGGAACGATGAGTGCTCCTCAGCCCATGTCCATGGCATGGCATCACCCATGGCTAAGGTGTGCCTTCCCACCCCAGTTAGCATAGCAGAGAAACTCCTTTGCAGATGTGCCCCAACATCTCTTAAGTGATTCTAGGTTCTGTCTGCTTGATAGGCAATATTAACGATCACAGTGAACAAATACTCTTTGCTATTGACATCTTTCATTTGGCACTTTCTGTTACCCATCTTATTTCAGAGAACAAATCATAGTTTTGCTGAAGAGCCAAGTCTTAACATGCACTTACTTACAAAGCTCCCCACATGCTATAGAGACCGTTTTACTTCTCTTCTGTGAGATATTCCTCCGACTTATTGAGAGGTAGGAAGAAAAATCAAGAAATGATCACTGTCAAGATGTGTCAATTTAAATTTTCTTTTGAAAATGTCTTTAGGTAAAGAAAACTGTTGCATTTTTGGGGGATAGCAGAAATCCCCTTGGAAACAAGTACAGAATAATCTCTTAGAGTAAAGGGGAAATGTATATAAAGCCATTAAATGTGCCCTGCTTAAAAATGGCCAATAGAGGGTTTGGGGAGACAGTCTTGCCACTCTGGCTGTGTTTAGGTTTCCATCCTTCCCTCTGGATTGCCTGTATACTTAATTCTGTAGTCAGTATATAGCCAGCTGCCTGCTAAGAGGTGCTTGCTACCTATGAATGTCTACAAACAGTTTCCTTACCCTAAAATTTTGGCTCCTCACTTCCTCACTAAGTTGATGTTTCACTTGCTAAGATTAGAGACAGAGACGACATCACCTTTTTTTGACTGATGAGTAAAGGCTACCCAGGATAGTTGTTTTCCCTGATCAATTTTTTTTATGTACAGATTTATTTTTTGGAAAAAAAAAAGAGGAAAAATAAGTGTCAAGATGATTATGCAAATTGGCACTGCAGCAAGGCTCCTAAGGAACTGCCTTTAGAAGGAAGCTGCAGCCTCCGCTCTGCTAAGTGCCCTGCTTTGGAAGGGCTGTGGGCTCCCTGCTGAGAAACGCTGCCAGCCGGCTTTGTCAGCTGGCTGCCTGGTGCTGGTTCTGGCACAGCCTGGGCATGGGAGGGCCGTCGTAGCAGAGCTCCTGGAGAGAAATGAGATCTGCAAGGCTTTTGCTGTGGGATTGGACGTGATGGAGGGCCTCCTTTCCCAGAGCTTAGGTGTTCTGTACCTCTTCAGTTTAGTTGCCCCTGCAGACCAAATTTTTTTAGTGTTTTCAATTTTAGAGACTCATTTACATATTAATAACAGATCATATATACCTTCTAGGGCTTCCCGTCCAATGAATTATATCCCAGCAATATTAAATATGTTTGTGTTGCTTAGGAATAAAGGTTGATGAGAACTGTTTTATTACCCTTATGTGCATATCATCACAGAAACTTGTTTGCTCAAACTACCACTGTGAGAGCGAGGCTCCTTGTGGTCTTTACAGATCAGGAACCACATTTGTTGAGTGTCTACCACGTGTCAAGCTTATGTTTATTACTTAATTACTTATGTTTATTATTTAGTTTTCACATTACTCTTTCAGTGTCATTGGATACATTTTGGAAATAATCAGAATGAGGCTCAGGATGTTTAAATTAAAAAAAAAGTTTCCCAGGTTGTATAATTAATTGTAAGGACCCAAGCCTAAGGTTGTCTGACTCTTAAGCCACGTCTCCAATATATGAAGCTGTGTGTGGGTGTGTGTAATAGTGTGGTGATGTGCACTGTGGAACTGAGAATAAGATTGTCTTTAATGCAATATGAAGGGAGTAGAGATGTAAAGTTTCTGCAGAAGTGTGATTATCAGCTCAGGTTTCCATAGTATACGCCAGCATCTCAAAAATCCTTCCCAGGTTCCCCTATTTTCTCTTGGACTTGCCACGTGTTGGCAATAAAGAAGATGACTAATTGTGCTTTTTTATTCTTCCTTTGTTTAGGATGTGATAGGCCAGGTCCTGCCTGAAGCAACGACGACAGCGTTTGAATGTGAGTCTGGCTCTATACGCTCCTCATTCTCTTTCTGCAGTGATATTTCACATGCTTTATGGGTTACATTACTTTCAAAACTGACAAAAACAGATTATTTATGATTATCATATGGTACATTTAAATATTTATAAATTAATGCAAGTTTAATGATGATACTGAACCGAGTAATATTTTCTTATTTAATCATATCTTGGGTGTGCATATCTCTACAATATAGCTTTAATTACCAACATGACCTTTATCTGCTCTTCTCCGTGTTATGATAGTGCAGGGCAAAATGAAACGTGTAAACTACCTGTAGACCAGTGATCGTTGATGAAGAGGTTTTAATTCTTCAGTGCTTTAGGACATAGCAGCCGAGTAAAGCTCTCGTGGGCATGTGTGGAATGATTCTGTTTCAGTGGGCTTTGGCTTTTGTTTAAGGACAGGGGCCCTTCTGTCCTGAATCCTCTGCTCTCCATTGAACTGGCTTTTATGGACAGGGCTGGGATGTGCCAGGAAACTGGTTTTGATACAATCTTTGCAGAGGAAGGCCTGCAGCTAGTTTAGAAGTTGTGTAGGGCCTCAGGTGCTGAGAAGGGTAAAGTCAGGGGTTAGAACTGTGGTCTTTCCCTTTTTTGAAAATGGGGCCGTGGGCTGAAGAGATTGCTCAGTGGATAAAACACTTGCACCATTGTGAGAACCTGAGTTCAAATCCACAGAACCCATGCAAACACTGAGCAGAGTAGCACACATTTGTAACCCCAGTGCTCCTACGGCAGAAGAGGAGCTAGAGACAGCAGATCTAAATGCTGTGGGGCCAGCGAGCCTGATGGAGCCAGCAAACAACAAAAAAGAGACCCTGTCTTAAACAAGATAGACACTGAAGACCAATAGTTAAGGCTGGGGTCTGCCTTCCATACATGTGCTGTGGTATGTGCTTATCCACTCTTACACATAGGAACATGCCCATATATACTCATACACACATATACACATCATGCACACGTATGCACGCAAAAATGTGTGCTACTTTCCAACATGGAAATGATTATGACTTTTCCCCCCACATGACGGTATGCTTTTGTTCCTGTCTTAAAGATGATCACTGGTAGAGTGTACAGTAAGTAATGTCCTCGTTAGAGGACAATTCAACCGCACCTAGTAACAGGTAAACTATGTAGCACTTTTTACTCAGCAGAGCTCTCTTGGAAGCTGTCCAACAGAAACACTGAATGCCCTTGTTGAAACAAGATGTACATGGTAGGACAATTTTTTGATAGTAAAGGACTAAATATAAGCAAAATGCCTCTGTAGAGTGGACCAGGAAGTGATCATGTGTCCATGTTCTGAAGCACACAGCGGTACCTGGAAAGAACACGGTTGGAGTGTATGTGCTGATATGGAAGGAGACTGGGATTGGTGGTTGAATGGACAATTGATGTGCCTGATACAATCCCATTTCACCAAAATTCTAGCCCTCCTTACCCACCTCAGATGTTTACTGGGGACAGGATCTGCAGAGGGCTCAATGCAGTGCTTCTTCCCTGGAAAATGGACATGGACCCAGGGGGATTAGAGATGAATAAGTACATGTTTCACTTTGTGTATGTCCCCATTGCTGGAATAGTGTTCAGTAACCAGAGTAGGACAATTACTGTTTTATTAATGGTGCTAGGCTCTTTATACTGTTGAAGAATATATATGTATTGGGTATACATTCACACAGACACACAGACACACACACAAAGCTCTATTTAGACTTCTTTCAATAGCTAAAGGGGGCCGGGGCCAGGAGTAGTCCACGAGCGAGCATTTGGTGTTCATACTGCCGCCAGGTAGTTAGCTCATTTCCTTTAGCCTTTACAAGATTCTCATGAGGTATGATGAAGGACTGTTGTTCCTGTTTCAGCCCAAGCAAGGGCATCTCCAAGAACTGAACAGTTAGCTCAGATACGTGTGAGCGCATTCTGGAACATATTTTTTCAACCGCTGTGCTGGATGCCAAGAGTCACCACAGTTGAAGTATATTCTTGCTGACTTTCCATAAACATGGCAAGGAGTTTATTTTCACTCTACTTTAATCTCTCTCTG